CTCCGGTACCCCCGAGCAGCCATCTGTCCTGCTGCTGCCTTGCTGAGGGATGCGGGTGTTTGCTTGCTCCCGCATCTGAACCCCCTTCTTGCGCTCGCCTGGGGTGGCCGCGTGCCCCAGGGCTGGTGGGTTTTGCTCTGGGGGTGATGCTCTGCCACTCGTTTGCCACCCTAGTGCGGAGAGGGTGGATTTGGAGCGCTGCCTCAGCTCCCCACTGCATCGGCTGCTCGGGGAGCCCCGAGCTGGGACGTTTATGGAGGAGACGGTGAGCGAAGGTGCGATGCAAAGGCTCAGGGCCGCAGGGAGATGTTTACAGCTCCAGTTCCTCTTCCCTTTTCCTGCTGGGTTTTGCTGCTCAAGGCTATTGTCGGAGCATTTTGCACAGGAAGAAGGAAGAAGTGTTTTGTTTTAAGCCGATTATGGGAGCCGGAGAGGAACGCGTGAGCGGCCCTGGTCTCCAAGGCTGGCCAGGAGCAGGGACAGCGTGGCGGTGAGGACATAGCCCGGCACCGGGTGGCTTAGATCCTTGCTGTAGGAGCTCTGCGTTGTGGCAGCAAAGCCCATCTCACCAGAGGGTCCAGCCTGGGGTTTGCAGCCTGGTGTGCGAGGAGATCCTGGCAAAGGTGCTTGGGTGCACTCAGACCCTACTGGAAATATCACCTGGCACCATTTTGGGACCAGGCTTTCGGGCTGGAGGTGAGATGTACAGCTCCAGGCTTCTGCGATGGGGTTCTCCGGCCGGGAAGCTGCTGAGGTGCTGGAGCAGGCGTGTGACTCCAGCGCTGGAGGGGATCAAGCTCTGGGACATGCCCCATATCCTACTGCAGGATCGTCTCCTTTTTGCCAGTAAGGGCAGACCTTGGGCTTTTTGTGCCATCCCTGTTGACATGGCACTTGAGGTGCTCCTGGTCCCGCTTCCTGGTGACTCCTCGTTGTGTGAAGGAGCCCTGTCTTGTGTTACTTGGGATGCTGCAGGGGCCTGGGGGGAGCAGAGAGGAAGCCATCGTCTGTTCTTAGCCCATTTCTTGAGAAACGTCTTCAGTTGGAAAACAACCAGTGAGCTCCTAGTAGTGCCAGTGCCAGCTGACGCCCCTGTACTGGGATCTGCGCCCCTTCTCCGCCTCGGGCGAGGAAATTCAGGGGGAACATCTGCGTGCTGTGGGGGTGTCTGCGCGGGCGCTGGCAGCGCCGAGCCGGTGGTGAGGGAGGAGGCCGGGCCGCCTCCTGCTCTGCTTGGCTCCATCCCAGCTTTCAAGACAAAGGCTGGAGCATTTCCATGGCCGAGCGCCGGTGCCTGGAAAGCTGCCGGCTGCCGGCACCTGCTCTGCGGGGCTGGCCACAGTGCGGGCTCAGGGTGCCGGCTGCCGCTAGCAGAGCTCGTGGTGTGCTTTCAAGGGGCTTCAGCTGGTCCCTGACACCTCTCACCCCACCCCAAATAAGACAGGGAATACCCTAACCCTTCTCCTACTCTTCCAGCTGGCTGTCCTGGAGGACTACGCAGATCCCTTCGACGCGGCGCAGGTGGCTGGTAGCCAGGCAGGGCTGGAGAAGGTGACGGAGAACGATGGCTACATGGAGCCCTATGAAGCCCAGAAGATGATGGCTGGTAAGGTGGAAGGCTGTGTGCGAAGGCCGCTCTTCGTGCCCCTGGTCCCTGCTGCGTGAATTCAGTGGCCGCTCTACTCTGTTCCTCGCAGCCTGTGACAGCACTGGCTCCTCCCGTGGCAAACGCGGTGGTGCACGGCCACTTGGCGGGCAAATTTTCACAGCTGTAGCCGTGTGCGATAGGCTTGTGGTAGCCAGAGCACTGGCAAAGGCTACCCGAGCGGTAAAGGCACCTTCATATTTCTGCCTGCCGTGCCGCCCCCCGGGACCGCGGTGCCTGCTCGCGGCTGAGCCAGGCGAGACCTGACATTCGATGCGTCTGGCATGAAACTGAGACGGATGCGGGAGCTGCTTAATTCGGTTAGGACTGGGCCAGAGCGTGCCATTGTCTGCCGCAGCAGCGGGGTCCCCGGTGGGCTTGTTTATGGCTGGAAAGCAGGCGAGGTGGGAGCGCCTGCGCGCACTCCCGAAGGCATCGCTCTTACTTGCTGCAGCGCGCGCAGGGTCACCATGCCGGCTTGCGCGCTCCAGGCTCTGGCTCTGCTTTGCCGTCCTGTGGTTTTCCTTGAGCGAGTGGTTTCTGGAAAGCTCACGCGGCTTTTTTTTTGGAGGAGATCGTTGCATTTCTTGGAAATAGTGGCAAGTGGCGAAGGGGCTGCTTGCGTCTGCGGGGGGAGACTTCTGTTTCGCTGGAGGGAAGAGTGTTTTATTAAAGTAGCCACGATAGGTGTCCAGGGAAGAAACGCAGTCTCGCTGCTGGTGGGGAATCAGGCTCTGTGATGCTCTGTCCCCGTGGACCGTGGATTTGCAAGGCTCCCTGAGACTGGGGATGTTGTACCGTGAGAAGAGAAGGTGTCCTGCTGCTGTGCTCAGGACCCGTTTGCCCAGCAGCTCCCCTGCTTCTGGCGGGCACTTGCTGAAGGTTTGAAGCAGGTCTCCTCCATCGCTGCTTCTCCCTGCCCCACGCCACCCTTGGGTGGAATTGAGCCCTTTCATCTAGCAGGGCTTTGGGGACTGTGGCCGGGCTGTGTTGGGCAAAAAGCTCATGGTCTTCTCCCTCTTCACCTGCTAGAGATCCGCCAAAAGGGCTTACGGGAGGCTCCCACCCGGCCACTGCACCTCTATGACACTCCCTACGAGCCCGTGCTTGGAGGGCTGGACATGGATGGCGACCGCCCGTCTTGCTCCAGGCCCAGAGAGTCCCGGCTGCCCGAAGATGATGAGCCGCCGGAGGAATATGACCAACCCTGGGAGTGGAAGAAGGAGCGGATCTCCAAAGCCTTTGCAGGTGAGCGATGGGAGCAGCCATAAAGGATGGACAGCAGCCATAAAGCGGCTGATGCTGCGTGGCGTTTTGCAGGGGGGAGGCTGGCTCCTTGGGGTTTCTTCATCTTTTGGGGTCAGTAGCGTCGGCCTCTGCATTTCCCTGACTCGGGGAGCACTCACGCATGTGCGGAGACTGTTTCTCTTCAGCGGGGAGCCAGGCTGGGCGGCGTGATGGACGGAGCTGCCTTGGCAGCCTGTCTGGTCCCCATCTCTTGTTGCCTCTTCCCCCCCCCTAACTCACCACAGCCTCCGGTGAGAGTTGACCCGCATCCTCCCAACCCCGAATTGCTGAGGGGGAGGCTGAACCCTGGGCCCAAGAAGGTCTCTCCTTGCTTGGGGCAGGAGGAGAGTTGGGCGCTCACCCAGGAGCCTTGGACCGGGCGATGGTCCGGTCCCCCGACCCATTTATCTGTGCTGAGGGATCGATTGTGTTTGCGTTTGTTAATGAGGAAATCCATGCTGTGCATTAGTGCTGGCTCCTCCGTCGGCACTGGCTAATTGCCACATGCTTATCTGGGATGCATTTTAATTGCAGAGGTGTGCGTCTGCGCTGCAGCCAGGCGCGCACCCGGCGCTGGAGCCGGCGTTTACCAGCGATGCTGGCGGAGAGAGGCGTGGAGATGGGGGGCTTTGGAGTGGTTCACTGTCTGGCTTTGGGTTCCGCGAGCTGGAGGGGTGTGTGCTGGGCTGGACGTCGTGGCGTCTACTCCTGCCTGGGGTTGCTTTCGTGCCACTGGGACTCGGCTGCTGCCCGTGGCACGCCGTGCCGAGGATTCGGCTTGTCGGGCTCTGTCGTGGAACGTGGTACGCTGAGGTGTCTGTGCTCTGGGTCGGGGTGGATGAGCCGCCGTGCTCAATGTCCCTGGCTGGAGGCGGCGTGCTCACAGGTCCGGCTCACGTGTGGATGCACATGTGTACTCCCCAGGGTGCTTTGGGCTCGTGCCGAGTCCTGAGGGCGTCCGGTTGCCATGCTGTGGGCCACGGGAGGACCTGCTGCCTGTTTCCTGCCCAAGCCAGAGCAGGTCCTGTGTTTCTCCTCTCCTGCAACGCTGGGAGCTCTCTGCTGGACATTTCCCCCTTTTGGGGGGGCCTGTGAGACCCTTGCTGATGGGTAGCCGGTACTGGCACAAGGCAGTGGCAGGGGAACGTGGACCCCACGGGCTGGTGGGGAAACGCCCAGGGCAAGACGGATGTGCCGGCGGGACGGGTGGCAACGGGATGCTCGGCCAAGGTCCCCCCGGATGGACGTGCGTGTGGGATGGGGGCGATGGCAGGCTCCCCCGGTGCCTCAGAGAGGGTCAGCTGGGAAAAGCTGATGGAGGAGCAGGGTCTCTCTGTCAGGAATGTGCCCTGCGTCAGGCCCGATCCTGCTCCGTGCTGGGGAGGGGATGAGATGGCCAAGCTGGCGTGGGGCTCCCGGGAATGTAGTCCTCAGGTCTTTCCCCCCACAACTGCTCTCCTTCTCCTTGGTCCTGGTGTTGCTGACGTTTTTTTCTAAGCCCTTTCTTTCTCTCTTTCTCTTTCTCTCTCGTGTCCGTCCCCCCTCCCCCCC